CAAATTGTGAAATTTTTGGTTCTAGTTCTGTGAAAAGTGCCATTGGAAGTTTGGTAGAGATTGCATTGAATCTCTAGATTGCTTTGAGTAGTATAATCATTTTCACAATGCTGATTCTTCCCATCCAAGAACATGTTATATCTCTCCATCTGTTTGTATCATCTTTAATTTCTTTTATCAGTGTCTTATAATTTTCTGCATACAGGTCTTTTGTCTCCTGAGGTATGTTTATTCCTAGGTATTTTGTTATTTTTGTTGCAATGGTAAATGGGAGTGTTTCCTTAATTTCTCTTTCATATTTTTCAGCTTTAGGGTATAGGAATGCAAAAGATTTCTGTGCATTAATTCTACCAGAAAACTACTAGAGCTAATCAATGAATTTGGTAAAGTAGCCAGATATAAAATTAATGCACAGAAACCTAATTTGAAATTTTAAACTTAGGTGAACTTTCCTTTTTTCCCTTTGTTTTACCCTGTATGCACTGAATATTGTCTAAAGCTTTCTTTTTAGCCCTGGGTCTGGCATTAAATCCTTCACCACTTCCTTGATTGTAACCTCAGGCAAGTTACTCAGCCTCATTACAAACTAGGGCAGAATGATGGTGCCTATTTTCTGTAGTTATGGGGACTAAACGAAGCAATGCATGTAAATTATTCAGAATAGCATTTGCACTCAATAAATGTTAGCTATATTTGATATTGTAGGGAGAGAATCTGACTTTAAAATGATCAATTTAACCAGATCAGATCACCTGGATCTCATCACTTAGACCCACCTCCACTCTTCCACTACTCAGACAATGGCCCCCTGGGGCACCTGAGCTTCAGTGCAGATGTTCCCAAACACTTGCAATTTTCTCCACAAGTGTCAGTCATGCTCAATCTCCAGGCACATCACAAATGTTCTATCACTAACAATATACTCAGTTGCAAAGTTCAAAAATGATTTAAGAAATACACAGATATAAAGCTCAAGATTATACCTACAAAGGTTATAACCTTCATTCCTTTTCATTGAGTGGGAGCAAAAAAGAGTGAAAGCTCTTTCTGGGAATTGTGCATGTCCCATAGCAAGTTCCATCTTGGTTGTCATGCTGCCTATGGCTATCATCTGGCTGATGGGTAATTGTGTAAAAGGGAATGCTACCAGTGGTGATTTGAAAAATTCTAACCAATCAAGATTAACTTAAATTTTGAAATAGAAGAAGAAAGGAAGGAAGGAGAGAGGGAAGCAAAGGAAAGACAGGAAGAGAATAAAAGAAAGAAAAAGAATGTTCCAAACCAAAATGTATTACTCTTCAGGGAAAAGAAGAGTATATTCCAATATACTTTTTCTCTTTTAAAATGACAACTGGAAATCAAGCACTGTGCAGATACACACACTCAAATATGTCTAATTTCTAGCACTTTATTTTACATTAATTACCTATACTTAGTGAGTACCTTGTTCATGTGAAGATCTGAATACTGTGGTCAAGTTTTTTCTTTTATGAAGGTCTACTGTTTTCCCTATTGAACTTAATATATTTGCATGATTATCTATTGTTATTATAGATGGCATTCGTTTTTAGAGATTATTCATAGATAAAAATACATTGTATATTTATATAAATCTAATATGTAAAAGTTACTCACAAAAAAAGTTTGTTTTTATAGTGGCCACAGGGTAAAACTGTTGGTAGCAAGAGGTAATATTTATGGATTATAAATATTTTTACTGGCATTAAAATGCTACATTATCGTTTCCCTAAATGTTTCCCCAATTTTGGTGGCAGCTTTTTTGTTGTTAATATAAACAAAAATAAAATTTACCTGGATCAACTTTAGACGAATATATTTGAAATCTGCAGAAGCCGTTTCTAACTTTCAGTTAAAGTGAAGCTCTCTTAAGACCATAAAGCTATCCTCAGGCAAATTATCCCAGGCAACAGAATTGCTATGCCTAAAGGAATAACAAGGTGCCTAGTGATAACATGGCCCAATTAAATTCAATTCAGCAAATTAAATAGGTGAGAAATAGAATAGTAGATTGTAAAAACTAAATATATTGAAAGGAAGAAGAAAAGTACCCAAGAAAGTTTAAACCTAAAATATTCTGAATAATTGATGAATTTGTACCTGAAGATTTTAAAGGAGAGAAAAATTGTTCTAGACGCTTTGGTGTCAGAAAGAATTGTTTCGAAAATTCTCTCAACCTAATAGCTATATGATTTGATTTTAACATGTTCACTATTTCTAAGCCTCAATATTCTCATTTGTGATAGTAGATTTTTCTTCACAAGTTCATTGCAAGGATTAAGGTGTATATTACATGTGAAGCACTTATCAACAAATATTGCCTGCTCTAACTATAATGATATCCAGGAGTTTCAACCAAATACCTGTTACCTGAAATAAAAGAAGTAATTTTCACATGATAATATCCAATTCCTAGCAATTAGCAGAGATGGACTCACTCTGAGGTCTTATAGCATACCACTGCAGAAAAATAATGTTATAGAAAGAAAGTTGTCCTCTATTTATTTACTCAGGTGTGACAATTTGAGAACTGAGTAGATATGGATTTGTTGCAATGACTTTGATTAGAGCAGTCAAGCTAAATTAAAAGGTAAATTCAAATTGGAAATAAGTTATTTTTCCAAGTCAGTTCCGTTCATCATCTTCATTTATCATTCCACATGTACAAAGTCTTGCAAAAAAATAAATTACTCTGTCATGTCAATACTTTCATTTCTTACCTGACCTTTTGAATATGAGTGCTCGAGTCCCTGGACATCAATAAGAATATTGTGTTTTAGTACAACAAAGTTTAAATAGCCATTCTAAGTCGGAAGAGTGTAATTTGATTAGAAACATGAGATTATCAAAATCAGAGAGTAAGAACCTTTCTAGAAATCTTCATTACATTCCCACGAAAAAATTGTTAAGAAATATTATTCTAATATCTTAAGATGGGAAAATAGTGTGGTTTTATTACCAGTATTAACTTACAAGCAAAATACAATGAAACATATGATTTTGAGATTGCCAGCATGGAGAAAGTTTATCTAGGGATAATTTCACCAACATAAATAAAGAACATCGTAATCCTGATAATTATTATCTCAAGTTGAGAACAAGTAGTTGATAAAAACATAAGTGATGAGATGAAAATGTAGACACATACTGTGACCAAGGAACTCTCCATGTACATTCCTCTAGTTCATTAACTGAGATTCTGCACATGTTCAGATGTCACTGTTAGTTTACTACATGCATGAGGAGATTAAAGAGTTTTCAAAATCTTGACAGCTTTGTTGCCTTATAAAATTGCCATTTCTTTGTCCTCTTTCTTAATTTTTAAGGTCCAGTTTTAGCCCTATGATGTTGACCATTCACTTTTATCTTAGTAGGGTAGTTCACGATTGTCATAGTAACTGAGCTTATTCTCTCTAAGAATCAGAACAGGTAGACTTTTGTTTGGATTCCAGGAGATAAATATCTGTTTTTGAGTTTGGGAGCAACTATTTAATATATCCAGAGAATATGATCAGCCAGTTGTAACTTACATCCCCCTTAATACTCCTCACCCATAAACCCACTCATATACTGTCAATTAATTTATAACAAAGGAGCCAAGAATATACAGTGGAGAAGACAGACTCTTCAATAAATCATGTTGTAAAAACTGCACAACCACATGTGAAACAATGAAACTGGACCCCTATCTTACATCATGTACAAAAGTTAACTTGAAATGGTTTAAAGACTTTTGTGGTTTGAACTGAAACCACAAAACTCCTAGAAGAAAACATAGGAGCTAAGCTCCTTGACATAGGTCTTGATGATGTTTTTTAGATTTACTACCAAAAGAAAAAGCAACAAAAGAAAAAATAAACAAGTAGGACTACCTCAAACTTAAAAGCTTCTGCACAAAAAAGGAAACTATCAACAAAATAAAAAGGCAGCCTATCATATGGGAGAAAATATCTGCAAATCATATATCTGATAAGGGGCTAATATCCAAAATATATGAAAACTTATACAACTTAGTAGCAAAAATACAAACAATATGACTGAAAATGGGCAGAGGATCTGAAATGACATTTTTCCAAAGACATACAGATGGCCAACAGATACATGAAAAGGTGTTCAACAGCACTAATCATCAAAGAAATGCAAATCAATTTGACCTTCATAAATACTGAATCATCAGTAATACACATCACACACATGCTATTTTAAGCCTCCACAATATTGGGCACACTGTTTCCTTCCCCACACTTAATTTGCAGGAAAATTTATATTCACTGTTTAAAAATTTCCTTTTGAGGTGCAACACCTCAACTCTGAAGTTTTTCAGAATACCACTCTCTCTCGTCACATACTGCCTGTCTCCTTTATACTATCTCTGTCCTTTATACATATTTCCATTACTCACCTCATTCATACTGTAAGTATTCCTTTTCATGTCTGACATCTCTTCTGCTTGACTGTGAAATCCTTGAATCCAAGAACTTGGTCTCAGTCTTTGTTGTAACCTCTCTATCTAAGGGAAAGCCTAGTAAACAGTAGGAAATCTATGTGCAATAATCAAACATTTTCCATAAACACGTATGTTTTTAAATACACATGCACAAATGTTTATAATAATGGGCTTGTAGAAAGCATAATTTCTTCCAGCTTTTCGCATACCCCACTGAAGTTTCTAGGCAATTTCTATTTTCAGTGCAATATCTAAATGAGAATTTAGTCCTATTTTTGAACTTAGGTATTTGTCACCAGAAGGTTATCCGTAAAATAACTTATTTGGTACTTTCAAGTCCATAAAATTGGAAAACAACACACTGTAGCTGCAAAGCATAGTGTCTTTTATTTTCTTTCCTGCTGTCAAATGATAGTAATAGACAGTAATCAATAGGTAGGATTGAAGAAGAATAGCCATAGGGAAATAGAGAAGAAGTGATACAAAGCTCTGTTTGTTCAAACTTAAATAATAAAAAATGTAACATACCCAAAGCCTTACTATAGTAGGAATCCCATGATTTCCAAAGCATATTAAACATGCAGTCCTGTAGATGGTAGGAAATGAAATTTCTTATTCTTCTGTCGGTGAAAGACATCTGGTCAGTAAGTTCTGATAAAATAGCAGGAACATAGGAAGGAGGGTATGGTACCTTCCCGCAGTGTTTTTCCACTGTTGAGGCTGGAGAAAACCTCAAAGAGTATATAAATGGAATTCCCAGTTTTAAAGCTATTATATCACCACAAGGAAATACTGGATCTGATACCAAGGCCTCAAATTTGCTTTTCTTCAGCTTTTCCATTAGATTTTGGTTTTTGAGAACACCATCACAGACTTCTCTAGCCACCATATGGAAGTCCTTGATGACTTTGGCCATCTCCTGATAGAATCTCCAAATGGTTAAAGGAGATGGTCTATTTTCCATCCATGTCAAAACAAAGTCCTTGATCAATCCTTCTATTCTTTCTTTGCCAAAGGGCACTTTAGATATTTCAAATATCAGAGATGGGTTAGAGGTCGGTGTGATGAAAAGTGCACCAGAAGCAACTAGGACAGTCACATTATGCTCTTTTTTAATTAGATCATCTATAATTGTCTTAACATTTAGCCAATGACTACCTTCTATTGGCCAAATCAAAACATTCCCACCAAGAGTGGTTCCTAAGAGACTTATCTGAAGAGCCAACAGCAGAATGTTCTTGTTCAACATGATGTCGCTTGATGTAGAAGATTCAATGAGGTGTGGTGCAAATGAATTTCTCTGATTTTTAAGCAAAAAAGGAGAGACAGATTATTTCTAAGTTTTGATTCAAACCACTGATACTCTTAAGAGCCTTCTCTCTACAAAATGATATTAGTCATGGTAGCTCTACAATCATAGTTTTGTGATAATTGGAGATTTAGGGGTATCATGTGTCTTGTCTCTCAACCTGTTGCTTTAGCTTTGGTGATGATTCTGGCTCTCTGATCCTTTTCTTGAAGTTGATCCTTCAACCCTTCCTTCGCATCTTATAATTGTTAAATTATTACTACTAAGCTGCTTAAAGCCACTGTGTATCTCAACTCTACGCTCAGGCCTAGGTACCAAAACCTTAGACAGGGCTAGAACTTACTCAGAAATGTAGAGTTGCTAATGCTATAGATTTTCCAAGATTTAATACATTTTATATAATGTCATTAGTAACAATTAAACTTTGTAAGTAGTTCTTAGTTGTTAATAGATAAGATTATTGCAAAGAGAATACTTACAAAATGCAAAGTACAAAGAAATATAGTGAGTGCAATATTTATTACTACTTTAATAATATGTTTAGGAAAATATTTTATGTTAATGAATCACTGAGAAAAAATTACAAGTAAATAAATAAACTATGTGCAAGTAATATATACAAGAGATGATGGGTAATGTTACATGTGAATAGGAGCTATCTGAAGAGAATTGCTAATTCAAACATCCTTCTTTTGAAAGTGCTGCTCAAAAGCTAGCTAAGCCTATGTGAATAAACTATTTTACATCTAGACTCAGATTTTTAAAATTGTTACTAGCATTTAAGTGTTCACTATTTGTCAGACATCGTGCAAAGTGTTTTACAGGTATTAATGTCATTTACTTCTCACTAAAGAAAAGATCCAGTGAAGCAGTTACTCTAATTATTCCCACATAAAGAAAGAACCATTGCTCAGAGAAGTTGAGTAACTTGACAAGTTCATACAGCAAAATAAAGAAGGAACTGGTATTAACAGAATTAAGGTTCCTTGCCTCCCATAGCCTACTGTGTCAAACACTAGGATAGATTAGCCCATGAGAGTATATCATGTCCGCTTATCAACTATAAGACACCTATGTATATGAACCATAAACTGCCCCAAACATGCTGAGACAATATAAAAGACACAATATAAATTTGTGTAAGTCACACTGAATAATGTAGGATCAAGTCATCCCAGTAACGTAATCTCTATGAAAACTGTGTATGTGCAAGCATATGTCTATGAGTAAGCAGAGATGAATCTTTTTGTTTTAATGTCTGTTGAAATCAGAAATCTTATTTTTTTTTTTAGTGATGTCTCTTCTGAGCTCCCCATCACCAAAGATAATCTGTAGTGAAACATTAACTGCTTCATTAAAACAGTTACTACCTTTTACAAAGTACTATTCAAAGCTTAGCAGAGTAATCAGACCGTTCATGGGGTGGATTTCAATTCAAGGCTCTGTGCAGTAGGATTTTATGGTATGCACAAAACTTCTGTCTGCTGGTGTCACCCTGGTCCACAGTTACTTGCCAGGAGACTTTCAAATAGTTGATACACTAGGATGAACAACTGGTCACAGTGTACTACTATTTTATTCACTTTATTTACTAGCAGGGAATCAGATCCAGTTTAAACAACTAAAATATAGTCTTTATTCAGGTTATATGTGTTGACTGGGTACCTACTAGGCACAGAACTCCCTACTAGGCAAAAGATGAATCAAAGAGATACTAATATTCATCTTACAGTCTATCAGAGGAAGATAAGAAAATTGCATACATAAATGTAACAAAAATCGGCATAGCATATTTAATATGTCAGCATTATATTAATAAGTCAGCATGATATTATAAAAAGAATTTAGTTTTTAGAATCAGGCCAAGAAGTCCTAGCTTAACATTATGCTGCTTAATATTTACGAAGCTTAGGTTTTTCATCTGGAAAATGAAAATTAAAAACAACTTAGGATGCTTCTGTGAGTATAAAATAATACAACAAAATAGATAATAAAATATTTATTAATATATAATAAATGAATAACTTACAATAAATACTATAAATTATGTAATTATATATACAATATATAAGATAAATATATATTTAAATAAATAAAATAATATTGATTAAGCAACAAGTATAGTACCTGGAGTAAAAGACATGTTTAAAATCTATTCTCTCTCTCTTTTAATTCCTTCTCCTTCTCTTAATTAGAGAAAATGCTAAGTGCCATCAGATGAAATGACACGGTTAAAAAAACTGTTTCAGAGCTCTACAGAGTAGAGATTGCTTTCAGGTTTCTTTTTGTGGGGCATAAGGATACAAGAGTCTTTATGAGAGATGTGGTATATGACACTCATCTTGGAGTCTGAAGTATCTGGACATTAGTGATGAGTAATGTGCACAAAGGAAACCAGAGTTATATCATAAACTTTTTGATTTAAAAAAATATCTTAGTAATATGACAAGTGTTAAGAAATTTGTCAAACTATTGAGGTTAAATTTTAGATTTGTTTGTGTTCTTAAATTTAATAGAAAACCAAATGAAGAAATTATATTGACCATAGACATTTAAAGAGGTTGTAAAAAAAGGATTTTTTGAAATGTGAGGGTCTGAAAATGTGATTTTAATTATTCTGACCTTAAGAGCACTGAAAAGCTAATATACTCTTTCCAGAAAATTTTTGAGAGACTACAGCTAAAAACATGATTAATATATTTGTGAAATCAATTGAATTCAAAGAAAAAGCTAACATATTTGAAAAGAAGCTAGTATATATGAATATTTTTATCATAGATGATGATAATAAAAAATGTGCTTTACCTAATTGCACAAAGGAAGCAAGCACAGTATTTACAATAACAAAATTGGTTGCACAACAGGATTTTGTTTAGAGAACCTTTAAATTTTCTTTTGTTAATAAATAAATTTGACTTTGCATAAACTTATTTGAGATTTATTTGAGATATATGTATATTTAAAATATGTAGTTATAAAAAATCCACTGCACAATATTAAGAAAATAAAATACCTATCGAAGGATGTCATCTTGATCTTTATACATGTTCTATCATAAAGACCATAGTGGTCACTTGTGAGAATCATCTTTGCCTTCACCATACATCGGTATAAATCTTACTTGTTACTTTATGTGTTGGCTAATGCAGGAAGAAATGTTTTCCACTGGTTGGACCTGAGGTAAGTGAAGTTTTAAAGAGGCCTTTGGGCTCACGTTTAGATAAAACTCTCAATTTACTGCTCTATAATACAATTCCCTCAATATCTATAAAATTATTGTGAATTGTATAACTGGAGTTGGGGAGGGACCCTCAAGTTATTTCCAGAAACCTGAAAACTTTTTCAAAGGGAAGCAATGAAACAAACCAGAAGTTAACCATCAAACTTGTAATGATTGATATTTCTTTTAGAAGAAAATATAAAGTCTACATGTACATTACACATTGCATATGTATTGCTTGTCATGAGATTTAAAAATTTCTTACCTGAAGTTTCCAGCCAGAACTTTAATAGTGCTCATTTGCCACCAGGAAGAAGTTGAACTTAGATAAATGCTAGTTGTGTAAGTATAAATGATGAGAAATATGATCTTAAGTGGAGAAAAGATTATACAGATCATTTTACTCTTTGCATTCCCCCCCATTACATTATAAAGCAGATTAACATTTTGTTAAAGGTGTATCCTTGTACTGGTTCCCTGGAAACTATTTGAATTGAATATTGCCTTTGCTATCACGGTCTCTGCGGCCTCCCACCTCCACATCAACCAAGTATTTCTGGATGTATCTGAAATAATTACTAGTAATGATTAATAATTGGGTTATTATAAGAAGTAGATAAAATTAATATCTCTCAAGTTCATGCAACATAAAATTATTATTATTATTTATAAAGAGAATAATTTTTTAAATTTGAAGTGTCTTTCTTCTTTTCTGCTGAGTCCTGTAATGGTGATAATAGTTTATGTTAATTCAAATACAGGAACCACGGCAGAGCTGAATTGCTCTGTAGAATGAAGAACCATCTCTGGAAAATCCTGGTGGCTTTACTTATCTTTGCGTTTATATATTTAATAAAGGTACTAATTTAGACCATTAAATAAGTGTTTTAAAGCTGCACACTTTCATTATGCAATATCCTTGAGAGTGAAAATTACAATTACATTTCTTTGTGCAACCATTTTGAAGGGGAAAAAATAATAACTGAGTATGTCTTTTAGCAGTGTCCCAAATATGTCATTTAGTAAATAAGTACTGGAATAGAACATGACCATTTATTGTTGGACCATTTATTGTTGTAATTGATAAACAGATGTGGCAATAAATTTCAAACGGATTGTAAATAGGGATTAGTCTCACAGAGATGCATTTTATGTGAGGGCAATGGAGGGGAAATAAGGAGAACAGTGGAGGTGCCACAAAGCATTTCAAGTTTAGTTCCCTTAGATTGCATACACGTGACTGCCGGTATTCTTTCTCAATTTGTGGAGTTCAAGTTCAATCTAGATAAAAGAAAATCAGTACTGTACATGTTTTATAGAATAATTCTCCATCTTTGAATTGCTAATATAATTTACCTATCAACTAAATAGAATAAGTCTAAGTAAATATTTCAAGATAAGTCTATAGGTAAAAACTTTTCTGAATCTTTCCACATCTAGTAATATATTTTTCACCTTCACACCTGTATGACAGCATGGGTGATAACTGATTTCTTTGACCCTGACATTTTTCACTAAATATCTAGTAGATCATATTGTATTGTCCTCTTCCAACTCTTGTTACAAAAGACAACAATGAAGTCGACAACTTTTTCTGCCAAAATGCCAATGTGTGTGCAGTTGTTGGTGTGTGTGTGTTTGAGTTACATTATTCCTATAAATTATTTTGTCATAATTTGTCTAGGTAATGTTGATGGGAACAATCAATAAAAAATCCATA